AAAAAAAAATCCAATGAACAGAAGAATGCCTTGAAAAGCAGAATTGGCCAAATGGAATAAGATATACAATTCACTGAAGAGAAGAACTCCTTAAAAAATAGAATTGACCAAATGGAAAAGGAGCCACAAAAGCTCACTGAAGAAAATAATTTTTTAAAAGTTAGAATCAGGCAAGTGGCTAATGACTTTATGAGACGTCAAAAAAAATCACACAAAATCAAAAGAATGAAAATATAGAAGAAAATGTGAACTATCTCATTGGAAAAACAATTGATCTGGAAAATAGATCCAGGACAGATCATTTTAAAATCATTGGACTACCTGAAAGCCATGATCAAAAAAAAGAGCCTAGACATCATCTTTCAAGAAATTATCAGGGAAAACTGCCCTGATATTCTAGAAGCAGAGAATAAAATAGAAATTGAAAGAATCCATTGATCACCTCCTGAAAGAGATCTCAAAATGAAAACTCCCAGGAATATTATCACCAAATTCCAGACCTCCCAGATCAAGGAGAAAATACTGCAAGCAGCCAAAAAGAAACAATTCAAATATCATGGATCCACAGTGAGGATAACACAAGATTTAGCAGAATTCTACATTAAAGGATCAGAGGGCTTGGAATATGATATTCTGGAGGGCAAAAGAGCTATCCTGCAAAAGAGGATCACAACCAAGAATCGCCTACCCAGAAAAACTGAATATAATCCTTTAGGGGAAAAAATGGAATTTCAAGGAAATAGAAGACTTTCAAACATTCCTGGTGAAAAGACCAGAACTGAATAGAAACTTTGACTTCAAAATGCAAGATGCAAAAGAAGCATTAAAAGGTAAACAGGAAAGAGAAATCATAAGGGATTCGGTAAAGTTAAGCTGTTTATTTTTCTACATGGGAAAATGATATTTATAACTCTTAAAAACTTTCTCATTATTAGGGCAATTAGAAGGAGTATACATAGACAAAAAGCAGAGATGTGAGTTGAATGTGATGGTATAATTATCTTTAAAAAAATAAAATTAAGGGATGAGAAAGAAGAACGCAATGGGAGAAAGGGAAAGGGAAAGGTAGACTGGGATAAATTATCTGACATAAAGGAGATCTGAAAGAAATTTTACAGTGGAGGGGGAAATGGGGGAAATGTGGAGGGGAGTACATGAACCTTACTCTCATTGGAATTGGCTCAAAGAAGGAATAATATAAACACACAGTTGGGTGTGGAAATCTATCTTACCATATGGGAAAGTAGGAAGGGAAGAGGATAAGAGAAGGGGGTGGGGAACTGATAGAAGGGAGGGTAGTTTGGGGGAGGTAAAAGTCAGAAAACGAACAGGATAAAAGGAGAGAGAAAGTAGGATAAATAGGGGGAAATAGGATAGAGGGAAATATATACTTGGTAATCATTACTGTGAAAAAAAATTACAGTGAGTTTCTCTGATAAAGACTTTATTTCTTAAAAATATAGAAAACTGAATCAAATTTGTAGAAATAAGAGCCATTCCTCAATTGAAAAATGGTCAAAGGATATGAACAGGCAGTTTGCAGAAAAAGTAATCAAAGCTATCTAGTCATCTGAAAAAATGCTCTAAATCACTATTGATGAGAGAAATGCAAATTAAAACAACTCTGACTTCACAATGGTCAGATTGGCTAATATAACCGAAAAGGAAAATAACATATGTTGGAGAAGATTCAGAAAATAAAAACACTAATGTACTCCTGGTGAAGTGGTACACTGACTCAACTATTCTGAAGAGCAGTTTAGAACTGCGCTCTTTGACCAAGCAAAACCACTACTAGGTCTGTATCCCAAAGAGATTAAAAAACAAAAAGGAAAAGGACTTATGTGTACAAAATATTTATAGCAGCTCTTTTAGTGGTGGCAGAGAATTAGAAACTGAAGGAATTTCCATCAATTGGGGAATGGCTGAACAAGCTGTTGTATATGATTGTGATGGAATACTACTGCGCTTTAAAAAACGATGAGCAGGATGCTCTCAGAAAAAAAAAAAAAACATGGAAAGACTTAGATGAACTGAGGCAAAGTGAAATGAGCAGAACCAGGAGAACATTGTACATAGTAACAGCAATATTGTATGATGATCTACTATGAATAACTGAGCTATTCTCAGCAATACAATTCTCAGCAATACAAATATAAAGGACTTATGATGAAAGGTGCTATCTCCAAAGAAAGAACTGGTAGAGCCTGAATGCAAATCAAAGATACTTTTTCTTCACTTTTTTAATTTTTCTTGGGGTTTTTTTGTCTGTGTTTTCATTCACAGAACGGCTTGCATGGAAATATGTTTTGCATGACTACACATGTATAATCTATGTCAAATTGCTTGTCCTTTCAATGGGGCGGGGGAGACAGGGAGGGAAAGAATTTGGAACTCAAAATTTGAAAAGAAAAAATGTTAAAATTGTTTTCATATGTAATTGGGAAAAATAAATTATTAAATAAGATTTTTAAAAAGAAAAGAAAAATAATCCTTCGGGGGCCAAATGTTAAGATCTTTGTTACAAAGCCACAGCAAATACGCATCTGAAGAGGCCCTCTTCTGGAATCTGGTGGCTGAAAAATGAAGTGCTAGATTTATTAAGTGAGTATAGGACATCCCCAGATCAACAGCTCATTAACAGTTTAGTAGGACAAATTGAATGATGTTTCAAGGATTGGTTGGGTCGTGGATCAGTTATTTTAATTTTTTTATCAATATGATCAAAGTGAAAACATGATTGTACAGTATGTGGAGATACATAGATGGATGGATAGACAGATGGATGGATAGACAGATGGATGGATGGACAGATAGATGGATGGATAGTCCCAACTCTTAGCACAGTGCCTAGCATACAGTAGCCATTTAATGTTTGTTGCTTTAATTGCCTTTTAATTAACTGTTTTGATTTATTACAGGTTGTTGAGGAAAGGTACTGCATTGATTTTCATCTATGTATGTATCCCTGGTTCAAGGTAAAGTACCTTATGATAGTAGCTGCTTAATAAATTTCTGAGTTTTCTTTTAATTCAGAACTGTGATTTGAACAATCTAGGTAGTGCCTCATGAGGAAATCCCTGCCACCAACTTCTTTACAGCTAACAGCGTCACTGTTGTAAGGGTGCTGAGCAGCTAAGGGACTTACCTAGGATCAGCCCGTGTATCAGAAGTGGGACTTAAATCTTTAAGCTCTCTGGACATAATCCTACTCTGCCTTTCAAATGACATTCCAATGCTTGTTGACTTATTTAAGAAACCGAACCAAAGCAAAAGCTGCTCTCCTGAACTTCTCACCTTTTCCTTTGATTTCATAAATTCATGTTTTTCTTTCTGTTGGACTAATGAACATGACATTTAAGAAAACAGAAACGTTATCAAATTTTTTTTATTCATCTTAAGCTTATATAGTTTAAAGCAGTAAATATAATTACTCCAACTCCCATAGTCCCAAGGAAGTTGCTCTCATATCAGTAAGAAGGCACTAACAGGAACACAGAGGAAAGAAAGTCCATGTAGGATCTATCTCTTTCTCTCTATGGATATATATGTACACACACACACACACACACACACACACACTTAAGTGTCTGTGTGTCTATGTACACAAAATCAATTCAGATCCTATCAAGTAAACTATTGTCTGGGAGCCATTGTCCTTTAGAGGGGTAAGTATGATATAGTCAAGAGTGCTGAATTGAAGTCAAGAGATCTGGATAACTATCCAGGTTCTGAGAGACCACGTGATGTAATGAGAACACTGATAAGACTTGAGTTCAAATCCCATTCTACCACTTATTTCTTAAGTGACCTTGGACAAGTTGCTTAATCTGAGTCTGTTTTCTCCTCTGTAAAATGTCGGGGTTGGATTAGATGACCTCTAAGGTTTCTTCCAACTGTAGATCTATGATCTAAAAAGCCTAAATCACTTTACCTTTCTCTTAACTTGCCCGTCTGTAAAGTGGAAATAATATTATTTATATTACCTACCTCCCTAGCGATATTTAAGGAAATCTTAAAGTGCTATATAAATTTGAGGGGCAGCTAGGTGGCACAGTGGATAGAGCACTGGCCCTGAAGTCAGGAGGACCTGAGTTCAAATCTGGTCTCAGACCAAACACTTGACACTTACTAGCTGTGTGACCCTGGGCAAGTCACTTAACCCCAATTGCCTCAAAATAAAAAAAAGAAAAGAAACCCAGCTTTATATAAATTTGAGCTATAATTCCTTCTATGATCATTGGAAATAACAGCTCTTCCCAGCCGGGTCTTAGGGAACCACCTCCAGGATTAGGGAAACCTGCAGTCAGTAGGCCATGGGAAAGGGTCTAAAGATCTTTTCTTGTTAATATCAATGATGATGGTGATAATAGTAGCCTGGCAGAATTCACACTTCTCTAAAGCATGATCACCTCAGGAATCGTGCTCTATTGACATCTCCTGGCACATTATTTTGACTGATCATAAACAAGTGTTCATATTTTAATGCTCTAAAGCAACAGTTCTTAATCTAGAGTCCATAAACTTATTTTTAAAGAAATATTTTGCTAATTTTATTCCAATACAACTGGCTGCCTTTGTAATCTCGTAGATTTTATTTTATACATTTAAAAATATGATTCTGAGAAAGGGTCCCTAGGTTTTACCAGACTGTCCAAGGGGTCCTTGGCACACACAGAGAGATGAAGCACCCCTGCTTCAAAATTACAGTCAAAATGGGCACAGAACTCTCAGTCATTAATCAATCTCAGTGTCCCCCAATTTGGAATTTGGATTCATTTGGAAATAAATAAAATGCTAAACCACAGGAAAAATATGGAAAACTTTAAAAAACATTATTTCAACAATATGGATTTGGTTACAAAAGTATAGCCAATAAAGTTAGAGAACAGCATGTCCATTTGTCTTTTTTATTTTTTTTTTACAAAAAGAAAAGAAAAATATTTTACTTTACAAAAATTAGTTCAGAATACTAAAATCAGATTTTATACAAATATCTTTACAAAACTGAATTATACATAGAAAAAACTAAAATGATTTAAAATATATAATACTCTTTACATGGATGTGTTACATTACTAAGGTATCATTTGGATGAGGTTTAAAAATGAAAGTAGCTTCAAAACATCATGTTCAAAATACATTCCTTAAGAGTCCAGGAAAACTACTCAATGCTCTCACTGTCCACCTGTGTTAAGGTATGGTGTTCTACAATGAGTCAAGACAGAGTTATGAAGCAACATCCACTGAAACCAAACCAAACCAAAACAAAACAAAACTACTGTGAAATAACAGGTTCAGAATATCCAAATTTAGTTCACTTCCTGGGATCCATATCACGGTTAATCAACTCAGGTAAAATACTTCATTCTTATTTTCAGGTATAGATGGCCACTATCATGTGGTAACACTGAGTCCATTCTGAGATTATATGTGGGTTATAAAGATAGGGCTTCAGGGAGCAGTGGGCTGTAGACTAATTCCTAGAGTCTAAAGAGGTTATTAGAAAATCCTTTTCACACAGGTACAGAATGAAAAATTAACAAGTAAAAAGTAAAAAATAAAAAGTGTCCAGCAAAAACAAGGGATGGGCAGCCAGCCAGGGTTTTCCACAGGTACTCTCATGATGTCTGGAGAAAGCAAGGAAGTACTGTTGGACACTGAATGAAGCCTCTGTGGCAAACTTTTGGGAGGACATGGGCAAGAGCCCCATGGGATGGGCAGCAGCAATCTGCATCCTGGGAGGGAATTCTCAAATCAGTGAGGTCACAGATCCACTTCCAGAGAGGTTTCCATAAGCCAGTATTTTATGAGCATTCACAATCAACAATGTCGTTCCAACTCCTTTCCAAGGGAGTATTTCTTATCATTAGTATATTTAAAAACCAGAAGTAAACTTTGGAATAGGTTCCCATCAACATTTATGCCAAAACATTTCATTCTTCTTTGCACATTATTTTAAATAAGGAGTCACTCCTTGTTGCAAGATGTGTTGCAGTATAAGGGAACACCAGGGAGTCCAAGGGTGATGCTCTATTTTCCCTAGGATGAATTGTTGAAGATACCTCATCATGGCTTTAAAATACCTATTAAATATGATGTAATATAATAATCCCATGATTCAAAATCAAAGGGGTGGTATTCTAAGACTTACTCTCACATCTTCACAAAGGAAAAAGCAAAGTTGAAGTTAGATCCTTCCCCTTCCTCTGATCCCTCCCCTTTCCCCCGCCTCAGCCCCCCAAATTAAGAAATAGAACAATATACAGTTTCACTCCTAAGACATAAAGTCTCCTATGCAACATGGCACATTTAAGCAATATAAGTACAACATAGCATAAGAATGCCTAGAGACTCCATCTGCACCACCATGAGCATCTTCTTCAACAGTATGAGATGCTTATAACTCTTCTTTAAAATGTGCCTGCTTCCTGCCACTGGAGGCATCTTTCCCATTGGGTGCCAACCAGGTGAAATACACCTTTATTGGATCAATGTTCCAGTGTTTGTGAAATGATATGGGAACTTGGTGAGAAAGGTAGTCCTCTGGGTAATCCACTGGTCGAGCCTGGAAGAAAAAGAGACAATTATTTCTTTCCCCTATGGAGGTTTTTGGTTCCGTAGTCATATTTGCAGGAAGAATGCTTTATAATCTTGCTACTCTAATAGTAGTTGCATGTGTCCAAAACAAGTACTGGAATCTTTGGTACCACTTTTCCTCTACCCTTTACCTCTGCCTATGGGACATCTTTCTCATCCTCTTTTTTCTCCCTAGCTCTTAAATAGGTAAATATAAAGATAGAGATAGAGATATCTATACTATCAATATAGATAGATAATATCAATATGGATATATAATAGCGATATAGCTGTCTAAATATCTATATCATAGAGTTCTGATAATAAAAAGAATACTTTGACACCTCCCCCTCCCCGAGACTACATAAAGTACATTAACAATTTAGGTGAGATTTTAAGAATTCAGACGACTTATGGAAGAATAGATAGTTGTTTTGCCCAGGCTGGGAAAAGTAGCATCTGTTTTTCAGTTTCTTTTTACGATGTTTAGAGTCTTGCATCCTCAATCCCTTTGTTCTAGCAAAATCTACAATGGCTAAAATTAAGATTTCACAAGTCATGTGGACTGTGAAGCAGTGGCATGGCAGATGTCCACCAAACCCTTCTGCAAAGATTGTTGATGGCCTCCCAATTCTCTTTGTGCTTCCGGGTATGGAGAACCAAGGGGTACAAGAAGGCAGGGGTCATTTGACGTTCTTTCTCCAGTAAATGCCAGTCCCTTGGGGGGTGGGACATTCATAATTAGAAACTACAGCAAGGTTTATCACAGAGAAAATAGACAGTGGCTCATTTTTCTTCTCAACACCAATCCCCATTCCCTTTTTCCATGCACATACAGGATATGTGGACAACAACCTTTAGAGCCATCCCTTCAAACACTAGGGTTTCATGAATCAGTCAATAAGCATTTACGTAATAATGATGGCCTCAATTTATACAGCCCTTTAAGATTCAAAAAGCACTTTATGTGTGTTGCCTCATTTGATGCTCACAACAACTCTGTGAGGTAGGTGCCATTTTACACATGAAAAAAATGAGACTGAGAGAAGTTATGTGATTTGCTCAACATCACACAGTTGGTAAATGTCTGAAGTAGGGTTCAGACCCAAGTCTTCCTGACTCCAAGTCCAACATCAATCAAGTGCTGCTGTGTGCCATTCAGCCTTGCAAAGACTGTTGATATAAATACAAAGAATAAAGAAGAAAACAATCCCTATACTCAAGGAACTTTCATTCTAAAGGGAATTCTTACCTTCCAGACTGGCTCCACCATGATATGACACAGTGAGATGAACTATGGTATACTGAATTAGTGATAGACCTAATATTAAAAAGTACGGCTTCTTATAGAAAGAGAATAATACCATATTTCTTATCCACATACCACTTATTTAGAGGCAGTTAGGTGACACCATAGTGCACAGAGAACTAGGCAAGGAGTCAAGAAGACCTAAGTTTAAATCTGGCCTCAGACACTTACTAGCGGTATGACTCTGGGCAAATCTCTTAACCTCTATCTGACTCAGTTTCCAAAACTGCAAAATGAGGATAATAATAGCACCTACTTTATTAGGTTGTTGTAAATATCAAATAAGATGTTAACACTTGAAATAAATGCTTATTCCCTTTCAGTGAATAAGTTGTAACTGAATCATAATCCTAAGAAATGGTCTTGGGAAAAATACCTCATCCAGCTCTTTCTCTTCTATCCAAAGCATATGGTTTTCTCTTTTAAAGTCCTTGTCATTGTCAAATGATTCAACATCAAGAACTGACATGATTTTATTGTTGGCAATGACATTAATGAAGAAGTATTGCCATCTGTTTTATTGCTGCACCCCAAGGACCATGGGACCTTTCAAACTGACTCGTAGCTGAGATCCTCCATATGTGTGTCTCTCTCATTAGAATGTGAACTCTCTGAAAGCAAGAATTGTCTTACTTTGCTGTGCTTTGCACACAGAAAGTGGTTAATAAATGCTTTTTGCCTTCATTAGTTCACTCATTCATTTTTTCTCTATTAATTTATTTATTTTTAGTTTTCAACATTCACTTCCATAAGATTTTGAGTTCCAAATTTTATCCCCATCTCATCCCTCCCCCCACCCCAAGACAGCATGCATTCTGAATACTCCTTCCCCTAATCTGCCTTCCCTTCTACCTCCCCCCCTTCTCTTATTCCCTTCCCCTTCTATTTTCCTATAGGGCAAGATAGATTTATATACCCCATTGCCTGTATATCTTATTTCCCAGTTGCATGTGAAAACTGTTTTTAACATTTGTTTTTAAAACTTTGCGTTCCAAATTTTCTCCCTTCCTCCCTCCCTACCCACCCTCATTGAGAAGGCAAGCAACTCCATACAGGTTATACATGTGCAGTCATACAAAACACTTCCATAGCAGTCATATTGTGGAAAACTAACTATATTTTCCTTCATCCTATCCCACCCCCCGTTTATTCTAGTCTCTCTTTTGACCCTGTCCCTCCTCAGAAGTGTTTGTTTCTGATTACCCCCTCCCCCAATCTGCCCTTCCTTCTATCATCCCCAACACTCTCTTATCCCCTTCCCCCCTATTTTCCTGTAAAGTTCACTCATTCATTTTTAAAAGAGCTGTAAAATGAGGGGTTTGTGATCCTGAAAAGTACAGATACTTCACACTACTAGCTGGGCACTATCTTATTTTTTTTTCTATTTGTATCCCCAAAAGCATAGTATTTTGCACATCGTAAGCAAGTGAACCCTTAATAAAATGATTTTTTATTCATTCATTCATCCATAAATATCACCAAGACAACTGCAGGTTAGGCTGGAGCCCCTTAACCAGTTGAAAAGTAGAAAAAGTTCCCTGAGCCAGGGCTCAAACACTGAGATCAGTGAGGAAAGATTAAAAATCATGAATGGCTAGGTACCATTGGTTTTAAAAGTTCTAAACCTTGAAGTAGTTAATAACTAGATAGGAGCTGTACTGGAGAAGAGTGAACCAGAAAACATATCCACATAAACACATACATATATGCACATATATGCTAGCATCTATTCTAATTGGTTTTTAACTTTTTAAATAAGGGCAATCATAAATCATTTGATGTTTGTCAGATTCTCTGAGGCTTAACTGTCAGGAAGGAAGGGAAAAGCCAGGGGAGATGTGTTGTTAGATTTTTTGCTTTCCTTCCCAATTCATTCCTCAGATAATTTCACAACGGCCCCAGAAAGGAGAATTGAGAGCAACAGAGGCAAATCTTTCACTTATTGTGCATGGCTAAGGATGAGCTGTTTGCATTACTAACACAGCTAACAGGAAATAAAAACATTCATAATTTCTCTCTGTTAATGCAGATTACAAAGGGTCTGATTTTGTCTCAGGAAGTCATGTTGGGAGACTCTAGCTTATTAAGCACTAACATGTGCTAATCGTTTTCAATAAATGAGGTACTAGAAAAGAACAAGACGGAGATTATGGAAAGTGAAATCAATTCAGAGAGGTGTATGTTAATACCCAGGAGTCCTGTAAAGGAATAAATGTATCTATAATGCCAAGACAGTCACCCCTCACAGGTTACCATTAGAGGATGAGAAAATAGGACACACTGAACAGATGCATGGAGAATACCGACTAATTGTTCTCCGACTCCACTAAATACAAACAAAGGAAACCATGCCTAAACTATAGTAGGGGGGATATAGGTTGGGTTGAAATATGTAGTTTTAAGGTAGGTTTCTTAATCTGATTTTGCCCCCTTGGGCAGTCTGGTAAAGTCTATGGCTCAGAATCATGTTTTTAAAATGCATACAATAAAATACATAGTATTACAATGGAAGCCAACAATATTGAAATATACTTATGAAAACATATATGTATGTATTATATATGTATATTTATATATGTGTGTCTATATGTATTTTTATATATACATACATACATACATACACACACACACACACACACATATATATATATATATATGGTTTTTTTTTTAAGTTCATGTACTCCACATCGAGAACTCCTAAGGGTTGGGACCCTTTGAGCTGGGGGAAAAAAGAGGCTGTTCTGTTCTTCCCTAGGTCCAGAAGCATAGAATTTAAAGACAGACAGGACTGTGAGATCCTGGGCAAGCCAAAACCCTTACGAACTTCGGTCTTCTCACCTGCTGTTGCTGGTGCTGCCTTACCTCACAGAGGTGTGCTCCATAAATTTTAAAACACCATAGAAATGTGAGCTATTAGAGGTCATCTAGAAATATTGTAGAAGTGGGAGGCCACTTTTATTTTGCAGATGAAGATACCAAAACCCACAGGGATTAAGTGACTTGCCCAAGGTCACATATATAGGAAGTAACAGAGCCAAGATCCCAACAGGGGTTCTCCAACTCCAAATCTAGGGTTCTTTTCACTACCTGATTTCAAATCCTGCCTCAGACACTTATTAGCTATGCAACCAGGGGCAAGTCACTTTGCTCTCTTTAAGTCTCAGTTTCCTCAGCTATAAAATGAGGATAATAATAGCACCTACCCCACAGGGTTGTTATAAGAATCAAATGTTATAACAGATGTAAGGCATCTTAGAAGTGCTAGTTACAATTATTATTATTATCAATGTATCACATTGCCTACACCAAAGTCCTTATTTTACAGATCCTTTTTTTTTCTTTAAGGAATTCTGTTTGGATGTAAAGGGATGGATTGGACTTTTTCTGACTCCCTTTCTAGAATCAGGATTCCATTATAACTGGTTCACTGAAACAGTCTGTCAAGGAGAAACCAAGTAGAGGAGTCTGAGGTTGAACGTTAATGCCAACTTTGTCAGTAAGTCAATGTGTAACCACTGATGTTCACAGCCCTGTCTCAGAGCACAGACTCTTGTCACTGGGATGGCTCTTAGAAGACATCTAGGCCAACTCCCTCAATTTACAAATGAGGAAACTGAATTCCAGAGGAGTGAAATGATTTGCTCTTAGGTCACTTGGTGAATGAGGGCCAGAGCTTAGAATGAGAACCCAAGTCTGCTGATTCCCAGCTCAGTGTTTTGGTTTTTTTTCCATTATGCCAGATTTACTTTGAAAATTAAAAAAAAGAAACCATTCTCAAATTTATGTAAAGCTCTCTAGGATATACTTTAAACATTACAAGATAAAACAGAACTTGCTAGGAATTCTAGATTGCTTACATTTTTCAGTCTTGGAAAAGGCTTAAAATACATTGCCGATGGAACACAAATCAGGAGTTTTTAAGAATGGGAAAGTAAAAAATGAATTCCTTTAAAATTTCTTCCCTAGAATTTATGCCCAAAGAATAGATTATTTTCTTTCCTTTGCTGGAAAGAATAGGAGAGCAGGATATATGGTCCCTGCCTGCCTTTTCCTGTGTGAGCAGACTCGTAGTATTCTATTCTAATATGTTTCTTTCCCTTTTTCTTCTTTTATAGGCCAGGGCTATTGCCCACATCTAAGTACTGTTATGCTAATATAGTGATGAATTATATCTCTTCTACTCCAAGAGTTTTAATTTTTTTTTCATTTTTCATTTGAGGACCAAAGAATAAAGAACCTCATCTGTTCTTCTAGGTTTTTATAACCCTGTATGTCTAAGGTTTAGAATGGGTAAGATCAGACAGAATTTTGAAAGAACAGGAAAAATGCCCTTTTGTCAAGGAGGGTTTTCTAAGCTGATCATTAAAAAGCTATTTTTATCTTTCCTCACAGCACTTGGGGATGTTAAAGCAGTGTCTGCCTCATCCAATGATGCAAATGCTTTCTCTGCCTTGCTAGAATTCTCTTCTCCACAGCTATACCTGTCATGGATGAATTTTTATATCACTAGGGGTAGCAATTGCTGCTTGGTGGTGACATAAAATATGAATTCTGTTGGATATAAAATCAGGGTTTAAATGCCATTTCAATGCTTGTTACGGCATCTAAAGTAGACATACATTTACATTTTTCAAGTCCTGAGCAGCTCTAAGTTTCTCTAAGAAAAGCATACTGTAGGTGTTGAAGGCACTGTTGTTATTAATCCAAGTACAGCAAAAAGATTTCATTTTCACAGACCTACTTCTCAAGGGACTACTAAAAATAGCACAGGAAGAACATATTTCCCCAAAGACTATAACAGCGATATGAATACACCACCGATGCCTTGCAGAAATCGCTACCGCTTCTCCTTTCCTCCCCCCAGGATGCATCCTCACAAGGGACACAACATTGAAATTTAACTGACTAGAGGGAATAAGAGTAAAAAGGATGAAAATCCAGCAAAAAGGCTGCAAAACTGATAGTGATAACACTAGAAAACAAAGCAAAGTTATACATGCAGGAGAATTAAATTCAACAGCTTTGAAAGCTGCGAGTTGAATTTATTATCTACTTTAAAAGAAAAGCAAGCTGTACATAACAAAGTTCTGCAGTTTCATGTGCAATCCTCTTTTTCTGTTCTACCATGTATATGGAATAACCATTTTATTTGGTATTTGTTAAATTCAGAACAAAATGAATTATGAAAAAGAATTAAACCCAAGCCAGAGGGATGCTATTAGGTTTGCCCAAGATATCTCCTACCCACCAATGAGCAAACAGTGAATATCTTCTTTTTTGATTAAAAGTGTCCAACTATATGGGAAGGGGCAGGTTTTCTCTGGTCCCTAATGTGGGACAGATATTTGTCATATGCCATTTGTTTTCCTACATGTTTTTAATCCCACCTTTTTAATGTAGGTGACATAATAGTTCCTCCCATTCCTGCCCCTGTCAAAGAGGCCTCCAAGGGATGACCATCTGGAACTTGTGCGCATAGCTCTCAAAACTACTCAAAGAAGTGATGGTGAAGGAAGAGAAACAGACTCCTCCAAGGAGAAGAAATCTTTTTTTTTAAGTTGCATGGAAATTAATCCTCTCACCTGATGAAAGAGAGGGCTGTGCGTCACTGGAATTCCCAGACCACTGAAACACATGCCAAGCACCATGTCATCTGGGGCATCATTGCTGTAACATCGGCACTTACTGGCCAAAAGCCTCCGGACTGCTTCTCTGCTAAAGACCATACTAATGGGCAAACACACAAAAACAAAGAAAAAAAACAAACAAAAAGAACTTCAAAGGCCATTACTTGAATAGAGAAATCTGGTTCGATAGAGACGCATTTCTGATTATGATAAAAGAACTGTTTCTCAGGGGCTCAGAAGCCACTTTATAATTACTGTGTATAAAAGAAACTGTTTTTGTGCTTTCTGTCAGATATTAACACTTGCATAAATATTTTAAACTTGAAGCAGATGTTTTCCTTGTGGGTAAATTTTTACTTCTTCACACATTTCTATTCTAACTTCTTGGCAACAATATGCTGCCTCATGTTCTATCTTTTTCAAATCATCAGTTGGAAAATTAAAATACTCCCTGGTATTGGAACTCTCTGTGACAACACACTTTGGAGTTCTTCTTTGGATAAGCCACAAGCCTTTACATCTCAGAGACATCCTTAATTCCTATAGGCTATGAATGACTTAGAGGGACTATCCAGCTAAAAGATCCCTGAAGACTTCTGGTCCAGAGTGCTCCTTACTGACAGTAAGGAAAATAGATTTTAGAGAATTATAGAATCTTAAGAATTGGAAAGGCCCTCATGGTCATTTAGCCCAATCACCTGCTTAAAAGGCAGGAATTCTCTTTACCTCCTGCTGAAAGATGATTATTCAGTCTCTGTTTAAATACATCCAGGGAAGGGTAATTCACTATGGCAAGAAGCAAACTGGTTGATCTTAATTTCTCTTTAAGTTGAGTTAAAATCATCTTCCTTTTAATTTTAACTAAGAGATCTTAAGGCAAATCTCTCATCCCCTTGGTTGCCCTACTTAAACTTGTAAATGTCAAAAGATGGCAATCATGTGCCCCCTAAGTCTTCTCCACTTCTGACTTAATAGCCTCAGTGCCTTCAGCTGATCCCCCTTATAACATGTTTTGAATGATTGGTGCTCCTTTAGACTTATGCTAATGGTTAACAGAATCCTGGGAGAAAATGTAAGACTCTTGTTTCCAGGGTTTATTGTCAAAGCTCTACCATTCAATTGCTATTACTTTGGGCAAGGTGCAGCCTGTCTACATGATTATCTTTTGGTCTAGTCTAGTCTGCTCTGCTACTGAATCTCATTATTACTTTGTGGAAACTTAGGAACTACAAAAAAAGATCATAAGGGGAAAGTCCTGAGCCATCCTGACGTAAGGATGACTCCTCCCCTCTCCCCCCACCCCAGCTCAAATAATGAAAGACACATAAGGATACAATCTTTCTCCTTGCCCTATCCTCACCCCTCTAAAAAAAAAGTTAACCTAAAGGTGTTAATAAGTTTTCCCAGCCAATCACTTCTTTCCTGACTCTGGAATGGAAAGAGGCCATAAAATTTCAAAATTATCCCTTAAGTCTAATATGAAGAAAAAAAAATTATTATTCCTAAATGGAAAACAACAATATCCAAATACTTATTAGAAAACAACCAGAAAGTCACACCACTGTCTCTTCCTTTTTTAGAAATTCCTTTTTCCCCCTCTGGCTATGTCAGTCTTAAATCACAGTAGTATCAATGGCTTTGTATTGGTTCAGACTGATTAGGGTTGAGCTCTGGAGAGGTCAATAAGATGTCTTTTAGTAAGAGATCCCTTGTGGTCCTAATTAGCTAACATTAGGGCAAAACAGATCTTGTAACAGGCATCTTTCTTTCTTTCTTTCCTTAGTACACATTTTATTTATTTTTGTTTTTTCTCAATTTCATGAAAGCAAATTTTTTAAACATTCATTTTTAAAATTGTTGAGTTCCAAATTCTCTCCTTCTCTCCTTCCCCCCCCCACCCCCTTCCTTGAGAAGGCAAGCAATTTGATATCAATTATACCTGTGCAGTCACAGGCATGCTTATTTTAAAACACCTTACTGGCCAAGAGTGAATGGATAATGGTGGGAGGAGTTTAAATGTGATTTTTATCCTAATCAAAGCAATGACATCTTTCCCATTCAATTCAACAAACATTCATTTTAAATTACTATTAAATACCTAATGTGTGCTAGGTCCTGGGGGAGATACAAAGTTCTGATGGCCCACAACCCTTACCCGTATGTATCAAGAGACATTTATTAAATACCTATTAAATGCCAGGAATCATGCTAGGCATTGGGGACATAAGGACAAACAGGAGTGGGGGAGACAGTATGTAATTTATAAGAATATATACAAAATACATGCAAAATACATACAAGGCAATTTAAGAAGGGAGGAAACTAGGAGTTGGGAAGGGCCTCAGGAAAGACTTCTGTAGAAGGTGGTACTTAAGCTGAGCCATGAAGGAAACAAGATTCTCTGAGACAGAAGTAAGGAGAGTATACATTTCAGGCATGGCAAGGAGCCAGTGTAAAGGCCCAGAGAATAGAGAGAGTGTCATGTGTGACGGAGAGGAGGAAAGCTAATTTGGCTGAGAGGGGAATAGTGTATAATAAAAGAATCAGGTTGTGAAGGGTTTTTTAAATAGGCTAAACAAGCAGGCTGGAGTCAAGTTGTGAAGGTCTTTAAAAGCCAGAGGAATTTCCATTTTAACTTAAAGGCAAAAGAGAACTACTACAGTTTATTGAATAGGGGAGTGATACGGTCAGATCTGTGGTTAAGGAAAATTGCTTTTGGTAGCAGTATGGTGCTTGGCAAGGAGATGGGGGCTATCGAGATGTTTACAAGAAATGAATTTTTCTCTCTTGTATCTAACACCTAATTATTATATTTGGACCAAGGATTTTTCCTTTTTCTACTTCCTCATCCAGAAATCAACCAATATGAGAAATCTCTCCTAAAGATTTACCTAGGCCAAGGTCTAATCAGACAATAAAAGAAATTCTAATTTTAGCCTAATGGGTATATTCCTGCTCATTGTGTTTGCTCAGACAAGGCTGGGAAAATGTGGATCCTCAAGTGATACAGAAATTGATGTCTCTCTGACCAAGATTTGGGTGACCTAAGTCACGTCTAGTCTAGTCTTATATTATTATATATATAATTATAACATTTAATATTTTAATATAGCCCACCTCCCAGTGTGCTAACCACTCAGTGTTGATTGCCACCCCTCAGGAATACCTACTCTTCAAAGGACATATAAACTGTGAGCCCACTGCCATTAGGGGTCTTTGGTCTAAGAGAGACAGCCAAATGACCATCCTTTTATCAATAAATGCACTGGCCTTATTAATAAAACGATGAAATTACTCAGATACTACGGCTCTCAAAATTTTTTAATCCTCACATGTTGAAGCCCTGAATTAGGGTGGTAGTCACATAAGAAAAAACTAAACAATATTGTGGAGGTAGAAATGACAAATTTTGACAACTGAGTAGAAATGTGGAGTGAGGGAGGAGTCAGGAATCAAAGATGATGCAGAGGTTGTGAATCTTGCATTCCAAAAGGGAAATGGAAATTCCAATTAAAGAAGTGGGTTGTAATCCCAATTCTGCTATTTGCTACCTACATGGTACTGAATAGATCACCTCTCATTTCTGGGTTTTAGATTCCTCACTGAAAAAAAAAAATAGAAATAGGAAAATAGGGAAGAAATGGGGAGGGTTCAAACTGAAATAGGGAAGTCCAAAAGGCTATGTTTTGGGGAAAGATAATGAATTCTTTTTTGGATATGTTGTTTGAGATGTTTCTAGGACATAGAATTAGAAATATCCAAGAGGCAAGTGGTGAGATGGAAATGGAGTTCAGAAGAAAGAACAGGGCGAGATGTAGAGATCTGAGATTTGGGTCATCATTTGCATAGAGATGATCATTGAACCCTTGGAAGCTGATGAGATCACCAAGAGAGAGAATGTAAAGAGAAGAGGACCCAAGAGAGAGCACGAAGAATCAGAGTTAGAAGTATGATATGGATGATCAACCAGCAAAGGAGAATGAGAAAGAGTAGCTAAAACAAGAGATAATAATATCATGAAAACCTAGAGAGAAGAAAGTATACAAGGAACTGAGGGCTGGTCAATAGTATGAATGTAGTTTGCTCTCTCAACTTACTTTAAATTAAATGATGACAGATTTGAAGCTGGCAGGGCCTTAGAGATGATAAAGTTCAACCCTCTCATTTTAACAGATGAAGAAACCGACAGTGATTTGCCTAAGGTCACCCAGATAGTGAGAGGTAGAGCTAGGACCTAATCCAGGTTCTCTACAGCTAGGTGATGCAGTGCGGAGAGGGCTGAACCTGGAATCAAGTAGAACTGAGTTCAAAACTGGCCTCAGATTCCTACTAATTATATATCTTTGGGCAAGTCACTTAACCTTTGTCTGCCTCAATTTCCTCAATTATAAAACAGGGATAATAATAGCATCCACCTCGCAGGGTGATTGTGATAATCAAATAAGATAATATTTGTAAAACATTTAGCACTGTCTGGCATACAGTAGGTACTTAATAAATTTGTGTTTCCATCCTCTGCCTCTACATCCAGCACTCTGCTCCTTTATTTTTCTCTTACAAACATACAGGAAAAATAGGAATAGGAGAAGATCTTTATAATAATTTGATCCATTTGTACTCCTGTGGATTCTGAGAGCTTTGACTTAGTAAAGTACAAGCTGAGGGTGAATTTTGCTGTTAGCAAGCCTGTGACTTCTTTCTACACATCCTGAGCACTAGCTACATAAATAATCCAAATCGCCCAAGTGCATGTGGACTTGCAATAAAACTTTTTATTAAGATAGTGGGTTATTTAAGCAGCTGTCTCAACACGGAAAATTGCCCATCATGTTGTGCCACAAAAGAACCATATGTCTATCCTGTAAGCCAATTTTTAAATATTTAAAAGATGTTTAGAGGCTAGAATTCTAACACTTTGATTTTCTTTGATATCTCTATTTCTTTTAAATTGGAAAAAAAACTGAAATAGAGGGCAGGGACTTGCCTGAAATTCTACCAGGAATTAAATACTACACCAAGGAAGAGAGGCCAGCATTCTGCATCAGAACACAACTGTCTCACGAAAATTTCTTTGAGAACTGTCTTCTGGAGTTCTTCTCC